GCGAAGGAAGGAAGGAAGGAAGGAGCGAGTGTACGAGAAAGCAGAAAAAGGGAAAGGAAAAGGGGAGTTAACCGGAAGGAAGGTTTATTCGAGGTGAAACGAGCCATGGAGCCGTTCGCTTGCCGGCGCGCACCGCCGAGAGAGCTTCTATTTCGCGAGGCAGTCGGTGGTTAATTATTAACACGCGCCAAGCCAGAAGCATTTTCCGTTGAGAGAGCGCGTTGAGAGTAACACCTCGCTGCATGAATTCGTGGCATTCACTCGCACGAACCGTCTAAACGCAACTATCGTACCGTAGATATCTGATTAAACCGCTCGCGGAACCGCGATGTCGCCCGGTTTGAATTTCACCGGTTCGAAACTCCAGGAACGACGCGCCCTCAAGGTCGTCTCGTGTTGTCGTCGATATGTACGTATCTAATTGATCATCTCCATACGGGGGGAGGGGGGGTTTTACTCACATTTAAACTTGCATCTGACGTGTGGAGAGTAATAATTCTTGGAGACTGCGGAGCTAATTTTGTTTACGAGAATACCGTCATGCGCTTTTTGTATTTTTAGATTTTTCCTTACACGAAATATTGCAGCGAGTAAATCTCTCAAACAGATATTGCATATATGAAAATGGAGCCTAATTGACATCAGTAAAAGGACGAGAGAGAGAGAGAGAGAGCTTGTTCTCCCCCTGCCTCCGTACGGTTAATTTAATTAAATCGTTAAGTGCGATACGGACAGAAGTAGCGAGGGAAGAACACGCGAAGTGCCGCGGTAGGAGCCACAGCGATAAGTAATGCCTAGAGGAGAGGCCACGGGGTCGATCGGGTCGCGCCTTGGCACCGATTCCGCGACGACGACGAGTACACGAGCGAAATCGAGCCTTTTGGCCGCGTGCCTGACTAGGGGCGAGCTAGGAAGGGGCGAGCTGGTCCGACGCACCGTGTTATCGAGGGGATAAGGAACGCGCGCGAGAGGTAGTCGATGACGTTGATATCGATTCCCGCAAGAAGACGACAGCCGCGCGCGGATGCGCGCACGCACGCACACACACACACACACACAAGCCTTGGACTCTCCCCCGCTGATTGCTCCCTCTGCAAGTAAGAGAGACCGAAGAGGGTCGCAGATGGACGTTGTGTACGCAGACGGGGTGAGAGGGCTGACATCTCGCCCCGTACATTTACCGTGAAGAGGGTCGATGGGCGGTGGGGTGAGGACGAGTCGAGAAGGAAGAGCAGGAGGGGAAAGAGGAGGAAAGTGGCGAAGAGGAAGGAGAGAGGGGCGGCAGGCGTGTTGACGAGAAACGACGGGGCTGGCTCCCTAATTCGAATTTAGGTGTTGGGCGGGTTGGCAAGTGGGCGCAATGCGGTGTCACGCTGCGGGCGTTTGCTCTTTCTCCTTCAACCCCCTCCTGCCATCCGCCGCCGCCACCTCCGCCACCGTCACTCCACCCTGCACACTTCCTCACCTCCGACCAATGCCACACTCCACCTTCGCTTTACCCCGTTGCTCCATCCGCGAGCGCAAGCTCCTCACCCGCTAAGCCCTCCGCTAAGTCCTACCCGACACCTCGAACCACCCCCGGTACCTTCTAAGCCAGATCGACCGACCTTAATCGACCTCCTGATCTCGACGATCGTATTATACCTGCGCGCACTTCCTGCCTCGTTTCTCTCCTCTTTCCCCCCTCGTCACGCGAGTCGAGGAGAACGCGATACTCTCACGGAATTACGAACGATTTCTACGTTTCCTTTTTTTTTGTTTTACTCTTCCGAGACTTTCCGCGCCGCGGCAACTCTCGTCGCCACAATTTACAGTCGCGCCAGCCGTGCTAAACTCCTACCCGCGGATTTAGCCACTTGTAAAGGCGCGTTGTCGCGAACGCTTGAAGATACGGACTAATCGAAATTGGACAGGACGGCGATCGATGTTCGAGCGTCATTCGCGCGTCGGGCTGAGTAACAATGCATCGTGAAAACGTATTAAAAAATTATTAACGTTTTGATTAAAACACGGTCGGAACACACGCGTGTCGAGGGTGGGTTGTTAACACGTTTCAAACAGAAACTTTACAAAATGCGACATGCTCAGCGTCCGATGAAAATTTTACACACCGACGGTCATGCTGGTTTTTGATAAAATAACGCCCAGTTGACCAAAAGTATGCCCATAAAAAAATTAATGTATGGAAATTTTCAATGTACTCGCGCTGTAAGCGATTAAGGTAGGGCATTGCTTTGCTTTGCTCACGTTGTAATTTTCGACAATGTACGGTAAATTATAGGCATTAAGGACGTGACAACACACAGGTAAGGACCTTTCGATAAGAACCGATATATTGTTCGCTTATACACGGTGCCGCGTTATAAAAGTCTCAAGGAACGGAAGTCCGGTGGTATCGGTGAGCGATCGTTCGCCCTTTTATCAAGAACGATTTTCCACAAGCGGACGTTATGACTGCGATAATGATACTTAAGCACCTCGGAAGAGCGCAGCACAGCATTTGGATGCGCGGGAGGTGGGCGGCGGTATTGAAGCATCTGATATATTAAACTGCAGGATTTCCGGCGTATTTCGCGGCGCAAATAAGTGGAGCGTAAAATTGGAAGAAGACGACGTGTCGCGAAATGGTAGATCGATAATGTCAAATTGGCAACGCGCTCTTGGTTTCTCGATAAATTCCTCGTCGCGCTCTCGAAACAATCGCGACATCTTCGATATACAACGAGACATGTCTTTTCTTCTCGAGATAGATCGAGATTAAACCGACGAGAGAATCCGCAGCTAAAAAAGCACGCGCGCGCGTTGGTGTTGGGACACCCTGTACAGAAAGGTCATTTGGTTAATATATTTTTTACCAGCTTGTTTTGGCCGGATTAAAAAGGCGACTTCAACGGCCTGCTCGAGTGCAAGTTTACGACTCCTAAATGGCAGGTTTGCACGGTGGTCTCACGCGTCCAACGGCGTAAACTCGAAGAGACGTGCCTTCCTCCGCTATAGGGGCGTGCACACCGCCGGTAAGTCAGGACGAAAAAGGAAGAGAACGACGCGAAAGTGTTACAGACTAACAGCAACAAAGCCGCAAGGGAACCTTTCGCGGCGAGAGGGCTTTTCACGAGCGAACGCACGGTCACGTCGTGTCAGTGGATTAAAGAGGCAAGAAAATACGCCACCGCGCGATATTCTCGTGCGAATTTTGTTCCTCGCGTCGCGATGACGTAATGTCTAATCGTTAAATTAATTTAAATGATAACCCGATTAATTTAAATGATGACGACAAACGAAACCCACATAACGCATGTGTGATTATGTGAGATGATCAAATGAAAATCTGTTAAAACCTTTCTTTCGTCAAGCATCAGGGAAACTCCCGGTAAATAACTACTTGTAGCATCGATAGATAACAACCTATCATTATATCCCAAGATTCCCCGCCGATTCTTCATTCATTTCAATCACCGACTTGACAGAATGTCTAGGGTTAACGTAACGTTTTGTTTCGAAACAAACACTACGTCATCGATTGCATCGCTTTGTGGTGCTCGCGGAGAAAGAGAAACGCACCAAAATGGAATATTTTTATTATCGAACATATATAAAAGATATTTGCGAGATCGAGTGATGGTAAGATGTTTCGTCAAGGAGGACATTCCTCTGATTGTAGCTCGAGACATAGGGAAAGGTTCATGGAAAGATAAGGAAAGAAGAAAGCTACAAACGAGTGGACGAAAGGGAAAGAGAGAAAAAAACAAAGAGAAAGAGAAAATCAGAAGGGAGGCGAAAAAAAAAAAACAACGAAAACTCGCCCGAACACAAACCAGCAGGCCCTGTTCTCGGATAGCTCTCCACCGTCAGTCTGCTTTTGTCTGTCGGATTTTTAAGAGCACCACTCACGTCTCATCCACTCTCACCCTCCGCGTCTCGCTCGCCATCGTACCTCCCGCCCCACCGAGCTTTGTACAAATACAATGTGTGAGTGCGTTTGCACGTATTTACGTGGATGTGTGTGTGTGTGTACGTGTGTATTTGCGACTTATTAAACGTGCTGTGAGAAGCAAGATTAGAAGGCGTTGATGTCCGTTTCAACACCGGTCGCCACAATACCCACTTTATTACACGAGCTTTATTTAGAAGATATAATATCCGCCGAGCGTGCAAAAAAGAATACACGTGACGTGAGATGCGCGGCTGTCGTTCGCGAATTAATTAAATCCAAGACTTAACTGTACTTTTAGTCGTCGGAAGACAATCTTCGTATTTTATGTCGTATCAAATATTACGATCGATACGGCAAACTCGTAAGAGAATTTACGCAGGCATTTCACTTTTACGGGGGAAAGTTTCTGGACGATAAACATGAAACTAAAATCTCAAAGTTGCATATGTGTGTCTTCAAGCGAGGTTCAATGATGCCGGTGAGATGCCGGTAAATAAACGGAACAGATCTAATAAAGTCGATATAAAGAGAAATCTTGCACGGTGCTTGAAAGATTGTTACACGTATTTGCAGCGCATTTGTAATCTCGCATATACTTTTGGTATTAAATGCGCGATGATTATAACGGACGGGAGATCAGGCAATCTGCGCGACTTCGCAGTAGGGTCGTTTTAATTTAAAATGTACGATTCAGATAGAAGTCAAGTTGGCATTATCTAACGAAAGTGCTTCAACTACAGGCGTCAGGAGAAAACACTTTCCAAGAGTTTTTGCTGATCCTTTAATTAAGAATTACTAAGCAGCTGCATTACCGTGCAATGAGACGAGGAAAGTTCAAAACTCGCCGAGTTTTACTCGACTCTTTGAAAAAAACTTCAAGCGCGTGGTAAACTGAAGCTAAAAGGTAACACGATAATTTTCATCTTCATTTTTCACTTTCTACTGAAACCTGAGGAAAACGTATCGCTTAAACGTATCGCACACGAATGTTGATGATGTAATGTATCAATCTCACGCACTGCATGCTGCAAGCGCGTTTTACTCGAGGTGTGACAATCGCTCTTACCTTGTTCTTTCTCCGGAATTTTTGTCGGTACCTTCTTATCGGGAGCCTTTGGTGAACAGTTCTTTCGCGCTGGCCTGACTGTTAAAGTCGGTGGAACCTGTCAGAGACAAGCAAATAAATATAGCAATTTGTCCTCATTAGCGCAAAACAGATGTAATCTTTCACGACCATTATGTTGTGCACACGCACCGGTCTACATGTCTACATGTGTACTCACCACTTTCTCTGATCTTTCGCCGGACGGTAACCTGGCTATGGCAGCGTCGGGGCTGTCCTCGGGCGGCGGAGGCTGCACGATCCAATTATATTCCCGTTTCTCGACCGGCAAGCCCCATCTCTCGTACTCGAGACTCTGCGTACGTAAGGTCTCGTAGCAGTCCAAACAGACCACGGCAAAGTCGCCGTTCTCCAGCAGCAAACTCTTCTCCGGTTGCCTATGGTACCTCAAGAACGGGAAATCCTTGACCGGCAAGGCTCGTACTCGTTTCCGGTACGTTGTAATGCCGCACACGTAACAGCAGTAGTCGTGGGTGTTGTATTGCCGCTCAGCGGCATTCACTTGCTGACCACCGGAAAGAGATTCGTATCGACGCCATTGCGCTAACAGCGAATGATAACAAAAGGTGCACACCAGCGCGGAGCCGTCCTCGCGTAGCTGCTCGGCGTTCGGCGGAGACTGATGACGCAACAATTCCGGAAAGAATGGCGCGTTTCGACCCTGCGGCCGACCGTACAAGACTCTAGCTAGAGTCAAGTCACTGTGTAAACCGCACAAGAAACAGTAGATCGAGCTGCTCGACGTGCCCGGGTTACTTCCGAACGTTCGATCCGAGCTGGAGCTTGGTGGCGTAGCGATCGACCGGTTCACGTCGCCGTTTGGATGTGGACTAGGAATATCGTACCTGAAATTCAACAGAAATCGCAAACGCGGCATTAGTAATTCTGCAACATTTCCAATGTAAGCAAATGATGCATCCAAATGTAATAAAAGCGGTTTGCTCTGAATGCGTAATTACTCCTAAATTACTCAAAGGCGGTTAAACGACCGCCAATCCCTTTGTACACAAAGCAATACCGAGTTGTATATTATGATTACCGTGAAAGCCATTTCGCACGCAAGACGCGTAAGACGCATCTCGCTTCGCATGTATTACCTCGCCTATTAACTCGCGTAATACATGCACGTTGTTTAAAAGGAGCAGCTAATACAATTCGCGGTGTACTAACCTGCGGCGTTCTAAAGGAACTCGTTCAGCATCCATACTTTCCCACTGTTGCGCAAGATGATTCACGCAGTGACTACACGCTAATACCCTACCGTGGCTGTCCATACAGGCGTTCTCTGACGTGCGTACCATTCCTCTTAGGCAAGGGAAATGCATGGCATGTGAATTCATCCCTTCTGGGCTCGTAGACAACCTAATAACGAAGACAAAAGCTAGTGAGTGATGATATCTCGCGGTAAGATCATGATCGATTATGATCTCGGTTTTTCACGTAGGAAGAAACCTACCACTCCATGTGAGTACGTGGATACAATCTCTCGCAAATATAGCACCTATAATTTTGGCCGAGTGCAACGTTCCCATTTTCCGCAGGGCCATTGCTGGGTGAATTTCGTTGCCCAGGTGCGGGCGCTTTCACAGTAGTAGTGCTGCGCTGCTTGTTCGCAGCGACCGTTGACTTGTTTAAGTCGTATGGCTTGAAGCGAATATCGCCACCAGCTGAATTAGCTGGAGATTTGGAGACAGCGGGTCGTGGTGAGGGACCTGCAGCATACGTGTTCACAACTTGTTCAGAAAGTGTCTCCTCGTAAGCACGAAATAAACTCTGAACAAACATTCCTTTAAGGGACCAAGAGACTGACCTTGCTGACGAAAATCTGTATTTTGCCCGGCTGGTTGGGCTTCGTGATTTTCTCCACCAAACACTTGCTGCTTCTGCGGGATAGCTTTATAACAAATGGAGCAAACTTGCACCATTCCCTGAGGACTAATAGGACTAGCTCCTTGTGGAGGTCTCAGATTACAAATAAAGGGGAAGTACGCCTCCTTCTCGGGATTAGCACAGCAATACATAAGTCTAATACTGGATGAAGGGTACTCGAGGGCGCAAGTGTAGCAGATAAACGTAGTTGTATCCGTCGCAGGTGCTTGTCGCTTGCGAAGCATATAGTTTCTCTCACCGTGTGGCGTTCCCCGCTGCTTGTACGTTTTCCATTGTAATAAAAGGTCATTCTGGCACGTTGAGCAGGCCTAAAAGTGCACACATAAAATGTTACATTCGACTTTACAGAGATGACAAATGGAACGATGCATGTCGGAAAGTATATAGTAGTGTAATCATAATAACGAAAACAACTTCATAGAGAAGAATTATATTCTTTTCGCGTCGAGAAGTACACACACCTGCACTCGACCAGCGCTGTCCATAGGTCGACTCCTACTTGGCCTGGGATGAAGCATCAATGACGGAAAGAACGGCGGAGGACTGGCAGAAGGATGCGGCAGGCTTGGCAGTGGCTTCGCTGCGATGTGACTGAGGGATCCTCTCTTGAACTCGTCCCCGCACACGTAACAGACTTCCGTGGCTGAGTTCTTGTCCGGCATCGACAGATCCAAGATGTCCGTGCCGACGCTGGACGACGATCCACCGCTATAAATAGCTGCAATGCAACGCGAGATGCAATCGGTTATGCGCTGCTGCGGTCATTGTCGAATCGAGATGTAGCGTAAAATCTCCGCGAATATAACAACTGGGCATAAAGCGGGCATCTCGCACGCCTTCGACATTATCATCGCGCTGCACGTGGCCCACTTAGAGCCTGCATTTTTTCGCAAGTTTATCGGCTGTGCTTACGAATACAGAGCGACAGGGAGTTTCGCAGTTGGTTCGACGCGAACAAAATGTTTTAATGGTTCCATTTTAAAGTGACGACCTGGTTATCCGCCGAGGGCACGCTGACTAATGAATATCAGATCGGGCGAATCGAAACTGTAAAGGTCACTGAAGCTCGACACTCGAACCGCGATGCGAGCGGGAGGAAAAGTCTGGAATCACCACTTAGATCGGACGTGCGCGTCAAGTGAATCGGACGGTCGGCTCGTTCTCTGCACCGACTTCCACCGTCTTATCTACAGAACTGTTAACCTTTACTTTCGAACGTTTACATTGGTGCACGAAAGGACTAAGGCCAGCGTAAATAGCGACCCGAATCGTATATTTACCGCGTACATATTCTGACGGGAGATAACTGGTAATAGCGGTGAAATATGGTTTTTACTCTTATCAGATAGCGCTTAGCGATTTCGCGTCGACTATTTCATCAGTGCGTACTGCGAACTTTCAGCATTAAACTATGGGTATTAGCATGCACATGTATATACAACAATTTTCTTTTTACAATTTTTATGAACTACTTTTCGCCGTCATCCTATCGTCTTCCAATTGTTCGTGTATTGAATATTCTTCGTGGCGATCCAAATACACATTGCTAAACTGAGAGCGTTGCTTTCTCTGTACAACGAACAGAACATTCTTTGATTCTCTTGAAATTACGAGTAAAGACGGTAGGTTGACCTCAGATAAAGATCCAATTAAACTCGCCGAGTCAATTTAATAATTAGAAGGATTCTGACGCATGGTTGTCCCCCGTCGTATTCTATGTACACATTTGTTCGAAGATCGACTAATGTTTATCGAAGTAATAACATCGTTATTTGCATAAATATGTCGTCAATAATCAAAAACAATTCATTACAGAAATGTCGAATTGTAAGAAAAAGAAAAAGGGGAAAAAAAAAAGAAATGAAAAAGGGGGAGAAGGAGAGTGGCTCTAAGAGAGAAGTGTGAACAGATATATTTTCCATTTTTCCAATCATTTTCTAGGATGAAATAATTTTTTTAAATTCATCGCGATATAGAAATTACTTTGTTCGAACAACGTACTGTACTTCATCGAAGAATCACAAAGAAGAATTTCTAACACAATTGTTAAAGCAGGTATTAAAAATATGGAACCTTGTGGTTGTGGTGGTAAGGTAGGTTGTGGTGCAGGTGAACTCCTAGGTGCGTGTCTCAAATCCAACGCTGCCTCATTGGATATTCTAGTGTCTTCAACGGGCTGTCGTGGGCTTTGCAACCTTTGGTGAGGTGAGTGCAATCTCTGGTGGGGAGATTCCATTGTGAGCCTCGCTTGTTCCAAGTGCCTATGCGTTTCCGCCGTGTTAGAATGCGGCCTCGGCAGTTCGACCGAATTCGACGGCGGTCTGGTTTGCTCGACTCTCGGCGAGGGTGAGTTCGGTGGTAATCGCGGGGAGATGCCGACCGGCCGGGCATCTTGTCTCATCTGCGGCGTTTGATCGTTCGTCAAACCCAGGATTTGCGCGGCGTATTCGCCCTGGAGTGCCATCTCGGCCCCCGTGAAAGGGCCGCCATCGCATCTCTTCAGCCAATAAATACGCTGACTGTGAGGCCTGGCATCTTGCTCGTAACTCTCCCACTGTTGCAGCAGCAGAGTGTAGCAGAGGCTGCACGCTTTGACAGCACCGCTTCTGACACCCTCGCCACGATAGCCGCTCGGCGGCTCGTGCGACTCGAGAAACGGGAAGTAGGGTTCGTTGGGCGCGCCACCCGGGCTTGGTTTCACTCGGAGCCAATACTGCTCGCTGTGGCCCACAGCGCCACAGACGAAGCAAATCCTAGCTCCTCCGCCGTCATCGGCGGACGGATTGGGCTGAGGATTTGCGAGTGATTGCCCTTCAAGTCCCGGCTCATTCTTCACATATAATTTACCCTCCATCATGTCAGGAAACCATTGGATCTTCTTAACGCCCTCTTATATCTTCGTGTTTGGCACGCATGCACGATCAGAAATCACAGTGACCGATGAAGCTTCTATTTCTTGCGCATATCTGAAAATGTACAACAATTCACAGATGAGTTACAGGCAATGTGCATACATATCTCGTTTAGGATCAGGTATAAAAGTCATGCTTGTTTATATTATTTATAGCAATGGATAACCAATACATACAACATATTTTTCCTTTTTACATATTTAATATTCAACAGCATACAATTGCAGCAGCAAGTATGCGCAGTACGTTTTGTATTTTTAAAGTTAGAGGCACTATAAACTGTACTTAAAAGCAATTAGGATACCTCATTGTATGCAAATGAGATTATTTGGGTGCAGCTGCGACCTCATTCTAAAGTAGATATGCAAAAATCACTCAATATTCCAATAACTTTCAAAGTTAAAATATAGATATTTACGTATATATATATATATATATATATATATATATATATATATATATATACATATATATACATACATGTACATATAAATATATATCAATCATTAACACATTTCAAATATATTAAATATTTCTTATTAGTAACATTACGATAGCTAAAAGTAGCTGCACTCTTTCAACTGTATATGTATATCACTCGACTTATAATCATATAGAACAAAGAGGAAAAGTACATTGTTATATAAATAATAAAACATATGTCAGTTACAATAGAAGCAATGTATATACGCTTGACAACTCATGGCATTTATTGCCGATGAGTAAAGACTAGAATATAGGAAGATTTCAAGATGAAATCTTGTAACCTTTAGTCTTGTAGTCTTACACGTATGGTGCCTCTAATTTAAATCATACAATTCACCGATAGGCATACTTGAGAGATAGACATAGACAGAGAAAGGGAGGATAAAGTGGTACTATGTACAAATATTTAAGCAGCTGACAGATGAAGAGAGTTTGTCAACAAGCAATAGGTTCATCCAAAAGGGTCACTCGACATCCCTCGAACATTTATAAATTCGTGACGGTATATCGGGGTGCTTATATCCGCGATGCTTTTAGCCCACCGTAGACATGTGGTATTTTTGGAGCATCGCTACATCGACGTTTACCGAGACCGACCAGAGATCAACTTTTCGGACATCGGTAAGCGAGTGCAAAGTTAGGTCTGTTTGGGGCAGAACATGACATTCGCACATTAGTAACATTAGGAGCGAGGAGCGGCGGACATCGGAATGCGGATGAAGCGCACAGATGCGAACATCTCCCTTCGATGACGACGACGGTCATCGGTCGTCGTCGAGATCGTCGGCTGTCAAGGGATCGCAGCTGACAAGGGAACAGAGCGCGACTCCACGTCGATGTTCGGCGTGAGCATCGGCGGAAACGTGTTCAACTGACGACGACGGACGTTCGGGCACAATGGTGGTGGCGTTCGTCGCAGATTACTCGGCCCACTAGAGAGTTACGTATTCGTCTTCTCGGGGGGATCGACGATCGCGCGGTAGAGACGCGCCCGCCGCAGCGCACGGAACGGCGTCGGGATTTATTTCGAAGGCGTATGCGGCAGCCGCCACGAGACTCGCCGGAAGAGGAGACGGCGAACGGGCGGCGCGGATAATCCCAGAAGCCCGTCGAGATATTGCGGCCGCTACACTCGAGCTGCTACCGAAATTACGCCGGGCCATGACACAAAAGCCATCGTCGCCACTGCCGCCGCCGCCAACGCTACCGCCGCCTCCGCCACCTCCGCCGCCGCCGCCGCTGCCGCAGCCGCAGCCGCCACCGCCACCGCCGCCGCCGTCGTCGTCGGCACACGCGCCGCACAGGCACGATCTCCGTTGCATTAAGACCGCAACTTAACACCGAGGAAATAACGACACTCACGTTCTCACAGTTCGGCAGGGCTGGCCACAACATCGCGCTGTTACTCGGTGCTGTTAGCTCGCTGCACTCGACGTTGGCAGCTGCTCTCGTGACTCGCGGCTCGCTCGGACAAAAGCTGGGCTCCCTTATCTCACGGGTCCTAGTGCCTGCCATACGTGCCCGAGCAGCGCACGGTGCCGTGGGGTGTCACCTTAATTGCCGCGCTGCCGGCCGCTCCGCTCATATTTACACCCTCCACCGGTCGTCCGACACCACCCGAACACGTATTTCACTGTCGCGCGACTGCGAGGTACGACGGAATCGTTACGGGCGACTACGAAAAATACATTTTCCGATGGCACAACACCCACGACTTCGCCTCACTTAACCGCCATGTTGCAAAATCGCGATCCGCGATCCCATCATGCCACGCAGCTTCGTCATATGACAGCGCCGTTGCATCGGCCAATAGCGGCGAGCGACGCATGCGCAGCGCATGCACTTGCAGCTCAACTGCCGCCAATCCGGAGCTCGCGCTGCGTTCGAATTCCGTCGTTCCTCGCGGAGGAGAAATTCGTCAGAGACTCGGGACAACGACGCAGGATATTTTGCGGGTTCGCTGCTCGGCTCCCGGGAGAGATCGTGTTTGCCTCGTGTTCACGTAAATCTCCTTTCGTAAATACGTAAGAATCGCTTCTTGCATTACTGTTTCGTTTACATACGAGATGAGAAACATTGGGTTGTAAGATGGGAGGTTGATGGATCGAGTTGATTAGAATTGCACTCGATTGCATTGCACCCGTGCGATTATTGATGGCCAATTTTGCTACGCTAAATTTCTCGACAACAATTTGTCGATCGCTTTTGACCACGTCGGCTGACTAACAGACATGTAGGTAGATTGTCACAGATTGTTACAGATCGCTATAAATCGACAAATCGTTCGTCAAGAATGTAAATAAAATATAAATAATGAAAGTCGGCCATGATGCATATTTGTATCTGAATATAAGTTGAAAATTTTGGAAAGATGACGTAATTTGGCTATCTTTATATTCGCGATACGCGTATTGTATAAAACGTACGATTAGATAAAGCAGAACCAGCTTTATATGAATCATAAAATATGCGAGTATATTACAGTGATAAGTTAAATATATAAATGCTATGAAAATAAAGTTTTCATTTACTATCATTAGTCATTCGTCTTGCTATATTTATTTATGAGCATTGCGAATTTTTAAATTTGGTTAATATCGTGAAAAGATTAATTTCGCTGTTTCATAAGAATATTATTGAACACTGAATGTTGATTTTCCTAAAAAAAAAAAATTTTTTTTTAAATAAAAAATAAGAAGTTATGATAAATACTTTATCATAATATGTCCACATACTCGAATTATTGAATCACTCTCATGAATATTACTCTATCAATTAATCAATTAACTGTTTAACATACGATTCAATTTTCAACAATCACGATGTAAGTGATTTTTTGCAGATACAGCAATATGGACATGGAACAAACTGTCGAAGAAGGAATTTCGTGTACAGCTTCCTTTACGTGCAACACGTAAGTACGAAAAAGTAGTTTGCTATAGTATTTCGCGAAACCGCTTTCTATAAACACGCCAACCGGTTGTTTCACCGTATCATGCTAATTTTTGCACTGACATGCAATATATGCTGAACCGAGGAAATAGAACGCGCGTGCGAGAAACGTGTATGACGAACGCGTTTCTTATGAAATCTTAGGATGTTTCGTAATAAAGCAAAATATTATCTGTAAAATGGATGAACGAACGACTTCGGGATACAGGCAATTTCTACGATTATTGCAGCAAGCATACGTAGGTCGTTATATGTAGGGTTTGTTTAAATAAAGAATAATCGGTCTTTGATTCGTTTCACAGTATTTAATCAACAGGTCGGGACATCGTATTGAACGCTAAAATTCATATCTTATTAAGTTGTGGTATATTTTCATATGTACGCGTACTCTTATACCATGTCTCTCGGGGGGGGGGGGGAAGGAGGTTCCTGATATTAATACTAAAAAATAATTGAAAATACTTTAAAAATACTCTTTGCAAATGATAACTTTTAGAAATACACTCTCTCTTCGATCACTCTGTTTCTACCATACAGTTCTATCAGCTACAATATTTTGAATTTTTTCTTATATGTTTTATACAGAGATTTTTAATCACAAGAAATTATTATTCGCAATGTAATAAGTGTTATTGTTGTTGTCATTATTAAATAATCTTATAGCTATTGACACGCACGGTAGGTAGTGTGGTACAAAGTTTTGTGTTTCACACTCGCGACTGCAGACCATCTATTTTGTGAAAAACGTGCCGGGGTTACAATCATTTTCGAAAATAATTATCGCTGTCCGAATATCGCACGTGATAGATCGTTTTACACCATGGATATATTTCATTTTATATCTGACAGAAATGGTTATTCTTTCTAACAGAAGTGGTCTATTGTAGCGTTGCATCGAGTCGTGTTTGCATAATTTAAACTTAATATTCTTCCTATACGTATATTAATCTTCGCATTAACATCTAAGAAATGTAAATCACTCAAATTGATATTCTCGCAAAAACAGTGTAACCTCGCTATCGTGCCGATGATATAGCGTATCTAGAGATGCTATCAAATGTCTTACCGTATAGAATACTAAACCAGCATTCGAGCAGAGAGGAGGTTACACTGTAGCTCAAGAGGAGTCTTAAAAAGGCATTAAACATATTGGCATGTAAATACGCTCTCTTCTTATAAATAATTGTAAACTAAGTCTGGTTTGCATTGATGAATGACTATAACGATTATCATATCATTTTCTCACTCTCTGTACATGTATCTTTTTTCATTCTCGCTCTTTCTCTCTCTCTCTCTCTCTCTCTCTTTCATCCTCATTTTCATTGCGCATACGAAGTTCGTAGAATGCTGCTATTGGCGAGTTAGAAATAATTCATTAGAAGCTATCTTTCCACGCTGCTAACGTCAGACTCTGTTACTGACCGAGAACAGGAAGCAAGGTCAATATTTTCAATTTTAGCAGGTTTAGGGCCAGAGCACAGACTTTTGCATAACACATAATACATAACACATAAGAGAATAAACCAATTAGTTTTCTTCATTTCCCTCCTCAGGACAGAAATAAAGAACTCTGATTGGTTGATTCTCTTATGCGTTGTGTATTATGCGTTATGCAGAAGTCTGTGCTCCTGGCCCTTATTTTTTATCCAGAAATCGCCCAGCTTCGTACTTGTCTGGTCACATAGTGTCATTAACTTTTTTTTTTATTTTGAGAATTTATCTTTTCGGTGCAAAGCGCAAACAATTAAGTCGCTTTACTTTTATTATGCCTTAAAGGATGACGTACACACGTAGTATGTTAAGTCAGATTTGACATTTGGCGAACTCGTGACTTTTACTCTTGACCCTACTGCGGGTTATCTCGTTTCTTATGTACATTTATAAACAGATATTACGGTAATGAAGTTTCCTCTTCGCCGTAGGATGCTTCAACAAAAAAAGTAGAATGTAACTCACAGGAAATCGTGCTAACAATTCTGCAGTGATTACGTGTATTAATTTCTACTTGTTTCATTATAATGATAAAAATAGATCCATAATATACATATAAATGTGATGCCCACATTGTGTCGCTCATATTATTACAATCTACAGATTTAATCAAACGTCATTAGTGTATTCAGTACTCTAGACGTATTTTTTTTTATGTGTTGCTCTTTGTTTTTTTAAACGTCGCGATTAAAGTAAATATCGACACTTACTACATCAGATTCAGATCCTGTTTTATTGAAACATCCATTTAGAAGCGACTTTATGTAGTAGCAGTTATTTTGTAAACGATGTCACATATGCGTAATGAATAACGTATATTGTATTAAAAATATGCCGAGTTACTAATTTCGATAAAAGTCTCGACCCACGTAACTTGGGAGTGTATCTAGATCAAAGTAAATATATGCAAAAAAAGGCGTACGATCTATCTAAGAGGAACAAAAGCATTGAAAAAGATCATGAAATAACAAGAAAAGTATTGGTCCAATCATCAGTTAAAAATAAAAATCCACATACAAATTTGCCTCGCCGAATCTTGTCGTAATATAAATTATATCTTTTTTATTTTTCACACACGTTGGCAGCACTGTTTCTTGTAGATCCATGCTGCTAATAGCACTTTTCGGCCGTTCAATTAAAGGGACTATTTTTAACATCATTATGAATATGTAGACGACGTTGTTCATTCACGATTTCGTCATTGAATTTATCTACGACATCCTTGTTTCTCTCTTGTATCTTTTCAATAATATCATCTTTAATCACAGTACCATCAAATATATCGTTTTTCAATTTTAACATATTCAGACCGTTCACCCTGTTCGTTAATTATTAAAACGACATGCTTAAAAAACTACTACTGTATAACATATTTCTTTGGTCGGAAAACCAAGCGAACTTCTCTTATTCATAATTTTATTGATCTCTGCTGGAGCGATGTTAAAATACGCCGTGCAAAATCATGTTTCGCAATAACTTGAAATCCTGTCTATGCGCAGGCGCAATAATGTCAAGTTACAAGCGTATGTTTAACCATCTCGCTGATATCGAATAAAACTTTGTCTGCAACAATCGAGAGAGTAAGCATTGTATCGATATATCGCGTATCACTGAATCACTCTCCACAAATTAAATATTGGCAGGTGAGAAACTAAAGCACAAGATAAAAACAAGTAAAGTAATACGGAATAATATCAAAGTACGCGAATGCATGTGGAGAGCTGCGCGACTGAAATTGAAATTGTTATTATTATGCGAAATTGAAAGATCTCGACACGCTCGGTCCGCTCTTGGCGGGGAGATAGAAAAATTGCTGCTTCATTGCCAATGTACTTCAATATGCCCTTCCTGCGCGACAAGTAACAATCCTGAAGAATCTCTCGAACGCGCTCAGTCTGCGCCTAACGCGACGTTCTCAAATATTATTATTCACCGGCGTCTCGCCGCCCAAAATGCGCTCCTTTATTTGTTCAGCCAGCGGCCTGCTAAATACGGGCTCGATTGTTTCCGACGATAGCTTAGGATTGTGCTTGTCAATATGCGTCAGTTCAATCGGGAGGTATATCGTCCGGCAATAGTCGATGTTGGCCCGACATAATGGGCAACGCTCGCAGCGACGAGCGCAGTCCAAACAGGCCACGGCGTGTCCGCAGGGAAACAAGGCGGTGTCCAAGCTTCGATCCATGCAGATCCGGCAGAGCATCGCGTCCAGCAATCTCGCCAGGCATTCCCGCGATTCCTGAAATGCAACGCGAAACGCATTGTTAGTTACGGTGGATCGTTCGTGTCGCGAGATATCGGCTACATGACTCCGGCAGGACGAAAAGATCCGCCGCTCTGTCGTACGGCGGATAAATTCACCGCTTATCTCTCTCACCTTGCACTTGGGGTTCTCGCATTCGCCGCAGGCGTGCCTATCCAGGATCTCGTTCTCCTCAGGCAGCACTATAGTCGCCGCCTCGCAATAGAGCGCACGTCGCGCATTGTCGTAGACCTCCCTGCAGGTCCTGCGTATGTCGAACACGTACTTCTTTCCCAATGTCGAGTCTTCGTTGAAGATGGAAATTATTGTCCCCTAAGGAGAGAGAGAGAGAGAGACAGAGAGAGAGAGAGAGAGAGAGAGAGAGAAAGAGAGAGAGGAAGCAATGATGTTTATCGGTTTATCGATTTATCGGGCATCGCGCTTTGCGCCTGACGGCAATAAAGAACTAAATATAATCTCGATGTGCAATGCGATGTAGTTCTTCCACAAACGCGATTTCGTGCACGGCGACGCCGCCGTGTCGATCTCTTGTATATTCACGCAACGCGATGAAAACTAGATTTATCCCAGATACCTTTAAATCGCGGATAAACTGCGCGGTGACTGCGCTTCTGACCGTCTCACAACTGTAAAACGCATGTTTCTCAGTGATCGCCCTATAAAGTCCGCTGGCGGACTGACTCGAGTCTAATTTAAAGTCCAACGATGTCTCCTCGCCGTCGAGCGAGAGGTAAACCAGATGGAACATCCGCCGTTGTGACGTCGCACTTTGTATAGCCGTATACGGTATGCTGTAACGCAATACATAATACATCGTATAATAAACTGCAGCACCGCACCGGCTAGAGTTAAACCGAAATTTTAAGGCTAATTTTCTGTTACATAATGGATGAGGCGAAGGCTTGGGAAAGCCTATGATCTCATAGCGCATAAACATCGCGACGATTATTGACGAGCAACTACTTTGCCATTTGATTTCACGCGCGAACAACGGACCAGTGACTCGAACTTTAGTCACGGGTAATCTCTGCTGAACGATCGTTCCGACGAACGGTACACAGCGCGCCGGCCGGAGCCGGCAGCTGGCACGTGCCGTCGCCTATCGTCAACCAGCGACATCAAATCGGTCTGTAGTCTCGCGTTGATAAGTGCGAAGTCTCGCAACGCGATATTGATTAAAATTATTAGTCAGTGCGTAAATATGCTCGCGCTTAACGACATGTTTGTTCTTTCATTTAAGACGTATGCTGCTTCTGCTCGAGTCCGTTGAGAATGCAGCTCGGTAAGATACATAACGAGAACTTTGAAATATCAAAAATACAGTTGTACTTAAAAATTAAAAAAATAAAAAAAAAAACTTTCAGGCGTATATCAGGCTGAAGGAATCCGCGCGTCTTTCGATATAAGTGCAAATTGTATTTTGCTTAGACTTGCAATTTATGCGTGCATCCATGCGATAATTACTTTTGTGTCTCTTCATCTTGGCTGCGGTAGACCGTGATTCCATGTGGACCGACGCCGATCATAGACACTCCGTTGTATTGTCCGATTTTACTGTGAAACATTTCCTGGCCAAAAGTGTCGAGGTTTGATATTTCTTTCAAAAGCCAGTATTCCGCGGTCGTCGTTTTCATTCCCTGAAATTTGTTTATACATTCCTCTTTATAAATTCTTCCTGAAATTTTTTCATACTTCAATCCTTGTTAATTGTACACTAGCTGTTCGCGTGATATTTTCACCACAATCGTATTTGCGATAGAATAATAAACGCAGAAAGATTCGTTGTAAATTTACTCCGAAAAATACGCTCTAGCTAGTAGTAAAAAACTACCCACGATATCTCGCGTATTTTCATGCAAAAGAATTTTCGAGTGAAATAAAGATATCGAAATGAAAAATTTTCGAGAAAGTAGAGCGATGATGCCTGACCTCGCGATCAATCTCAGATCGCGAGGATGTACAACGCGCGAAAGTATAGCAATTATTTTTCGCCAAGCGCCACGAACCTTGATTTCCTTGTGTTGCTGAATTATCCGGAGTAGAAAGTCTTGAGGTTTCGGCTCGCACGGCTCCGCGGGTTGTATGTGACAACACTGAGAGTAAAGTGCATGCGGCGGTGATAGCGCATCGTAATCGCCAGCATCAGCCTGCGCTATCAGAGCGACCAAACGGGCTACGGATCCCCAATCCGGGACTTTCAGCCTACCCTCGACCAGTTCGAGGCGGGAGTGCAAGTAGAACTGATGCCTGCAACCAGGTGGAGAGGGAAAGCGAGATGAGTACTCGACATATTCACAAGGAGTTATTAATTGCAATTAGTTCAATTCCGCGGTAGGTGAATACAATGTGGGCCAGCCGCGCTAATATACGATACTCGGGCTAAAGTAAGATTGATTACCTCCGTTCTCGAAGCGCATTGTTTTAGTGCCTTCCACCCCAAGCGAGTTGAATAATACAGTAACACAATAACGGAGAAATGATTAACGATTGAGGTGCGTTCCCAACGGCGAAAAGTATGCTCGTAATTTCGCCATAGCGGGCGTTTAGCCGCCGAGAGACATTAGCTCGTCTGTGCGTGACGTGAATTTTATAAATCGCTCCTCTCTAGAAACACACCCACACACACACATATACATACACTCCATTCACGGCGTGTACTTATATTTTCTCGGTTTCGGTTTTCAGCGTCTCGACTTGGTAAGTAGGTTACTCTTGTAAAGAAAGAGTCCCAGCGTACACGGTGCGTCCGGCGAATTTCTCTACCCGACTTCTATCCTATAGCGACAACTTAAATAATTCATACGTCATTCCAGCGTCTCTCGATTTTCCGTTTACGTGTATATTGGAAGAATACCGAGTATGTGATCAAGAAAGCTTTTCGAGATACCTCCGAGTTCCTTTCGCATATTCCTGAATATCCTTCAGATGCACAATAGGTACATATCATGATAAACATGTCGTCGGAGGGATGGAATTACGCGTCGAGGAGGTGAATGTTCGGTTCGGGAAGCGTCAGCGTACAGCAGCGGGGAATCTGCATTAGAATATACCATGCAGCATCATTTTTCACGATTTTGCGCAACCGCTCGCCGCTCTCGTTTTCTCCCTTTTAACACCCCTCGGCGACGTTGCGTCGCGGATATAATTGATAATCGGAGCATCGGGAGACTCGCGCGCATACACACACTCGCAACGTATAATTTATATAGCACAATGGCAAAACAATTTATCGTTTTTTTATTCACGTGGCCAACAAAAATCCACCTTCGAGTCGCGTATTGAGCATAAATTATCGTCGCGGCATTAAATCCCGCCGGCATTAGCGAGCGCGTTATATCCGCCGGATATAGAACGATAAAAAATGACGAGAGACATATCCCCGAAGCGTTGCGAGCAGTTAACTCGCAACGCTCTTGACGGAGGATTTCAATTTCAATCGAGAGCAAATTGGATCGGGACGACCGATGAACGAGTCAGATACGAGAGTTGATACCGATCGCTTTTAAAGAAATATCGATCTCTTCTCGGCGAAGATTTCCCGAACGTCGTCGCCACTACCCATCGAAATATTGCTTGCGCGTTATCTTTCTCTCGCTTCTCTTTCTTTTTTTATTTCCTCCTACGGGACGGCACACATTCCCCTCCGGAAACCCTCCGACCACGAGAGATATTTCTCCTCCTCCTCTCGGGGAATTATCAGGAAAATGTCGAGGAGAGATCAGCGGCGGAGAAATCGCGTTGGACAAAGTGTCGGACAATTACGGTGTAAAAAATTGGAACGCGGTCGTAATTTCGTGTAATCTGCGTCCGAGCGAGCGACCCCGCGGCCCACCGACTTCATCACTGTCGGCTCCTAGATGCGTTTCTTCGGGAAAACACCGCGCAGAATTCTAAGTAAATTAAACGATTTTCCCCGCCATAAAGTTCCGGGCCCGGTGTTACACGCGCGCCTAGGACAAGAGAGAGACGTTATTTACCGCGGCTCGTTTCCCCGCGACGGGGAAACGACACGCCGTTCTCGACGCGCGGACAATCTTGCCGCTCTCCCCCCCCCTTCTCTCTCCCTCTTGCCGGCCGAACTTACCACTGTCGGCCACGAACTTCGACGAAATCCACGACCCACACGGCCGGGAAACGCCGGGGGCCCAATGACATTTGTCACCGTACGAGAGATATTGGTTCTGCCCGAACTTCCCGAAGTGTGGCAAGTCGCGAGAACACGGCGGAACTCCTTGCTTCGGCGGACTCGCCCCGTTAACAATCGCGCGTGACGAAAGTCGCGCGTACGAGCGACCGGAGGTCCGAATTCTTTCACTCGCAAAGTTTCTCACGGAGAGACAAAGGCCATGCGCTGCTTTCTCCGCGAATGGAGATCATATTTAACTCTTGACCGAGCTGTCCGACGGACCAGGCGAGTCGTTTTATCTCGCTCTTGATTATTCGTGGACGTATCAGCATAATCATATCTTGCAGTTGCGAGTTGCGCTATCGCGTGCGAGTAGTTAGACAGAACCACTTTGCTCCTCTTGTCTCTTTGCTCTGTTTGCTCTGTTAACACAGTCCAAGTAATATTGAATTTAACGTTCCCTGTTCCTGCGCGCGTTCGTGCCGGACTGTGCCGCTGTTGTGTGTTCTCCTATTTATCGAGCAACTGGACGTTGAGCAGTCGATTCCACCGACATAGTGATTCGCTTCCTCGTTAAAAAGAATAGACCAGAAGACCTCTCGCTATCTTGCATAAATAAAAACTGCGAGCGAGAGCCGGGGAAAAAAGGGACGCATTGAGTTATGTATGACGGACTTTTGCGGGCTGCGGCTGCGACGAAAAGATCCGACTAAATGGGAGCAGGTCGCGAGTGCTTTCAGGAAGCTCTGCCTCGACCAGCCTTAAATGTTGGAGGAGAACTTCCGGTAGGGGATATAATTCGAAACTATTATCAAGTACTCTCGAGACAAGACACACGCTCAGCACGAGAATGGAAATGCGCGCGTCTGTCGCCGCCGGCTTCCCGCGTGTTTAGTCGCGATTGAAATATTTATCGGACCGCATGCTAAACGTCGTTCGTGCGCGGATACGTCATACCGCGCAGTGTTTGACAAATATAAACGCGTCGCATGGAAGGGATATTTGGATTAGTACGAGTCAACTGCAGTAATATTAACAACATGCTCGTGCAGAGTAAGGTCCGGGATATGGTAACGTATATATCATTTATGACGTGTACACAGCACTTTCCCATACATAATTCAGAAATGGAAACAGGGTCGATCCTTATTCCGCCAAGTTCCAAATAGGGCGTTTCGCTCGATTGATTGTGCGCAACGGCTACTTATAAGTCAGTCGCACCGAGAACCAACACGTCGGCAACTCGCGTACTCGTGTACTCGCGCTTGCAAGTGCTCCGCGAAATTCGAGGAAAGCCAATTTCCCCAAACCAATCCGAGACACCATGCGCGCGCGCGCGCGCGCGCAACACCCTTTGCCGAATCTAATTCCTCATCGGCACCGTCAATACGATTAAAGGCTTCCAGCAGACAATGTCCCGAGGAAGAATAGACCGAACAAAAGCCGGCGAATGAATAAAAGAGTCACGGAGCGCGTATACAAGCAGTTCACACTTCGCGAGCGCGCATTCGCGTGTTTGTGAGATCTCGACGGCATTCATAAACATTATGCGCATAATTGTAACGATGTGCATCGCGGACGTAAGTGGCGAGCAGCCTGCCCACAGGGTGTGAAAATTTGAACCGACGTTCGCGCGCGCTCGTTCGGACGAGGTCGCAGAAAGCTCGTCCGACTTTCAGCTGCGTCCACAATATTTCCGAGTAAATAATTCAGAGGTTATTTCCAGCGGCCCGGGTAATTTTAAGTGGCCACTGCGACAGAGAGAGAGAGAGAGAGAGAGAGAGAGAGAGAGAGAGAGAGAGAGAGAGAGAGAGAGAGAGAGAGAGACCTCCTTTTCCTCTCTCCCTCCTCCCTCTCTCGTCGTCCTGCGGCCTCGTCCTCGTGACGCCGGGACAGTTGCGAATTAGCTGGCGGTGGCGGTTAAGTTTCTTAGGGGAACGAGCGAGAGAGGCAATTCGTTGGCCGCGGCGAATCAGCGAACGGATTAGCATTTTGCATGTAGCCTTGCCGGCGGTGTCACCGCGGCGACATTAGCCAGCCACATTGTAAATGAGTCAACACTGAATCCGACAAGCCGTGAATTTCAAAAGGGCGTACGTCCGCGGTCGTTCAGATTTCTCCCTGTCGCACGAGATGGCGAAGGGGAGGGCCAAAGAGGATCGGCTTTGCCGCGGTTGCGAGAAGAGGGCTTTCAAAGTGACCGCGAGAGGTGATCCTCGCGATACGCTCCAAATTAGGTTTCATAATTCCGAAGCAAGAAAGGGGGACACTGTAGAGTGCACACGTGTGCGGTACGGTTAACCGTCACGTTCATAATATATGCGCGAATTACAAAGTTTCCCAGCCGCTCTCGTCGAGAGCTGAGTAGTTAACCGATGATTAAACATTAAGTCGATTGGTTAAACTAGCCAACTGAGCTAACTGATTACTATTAAATTGCCCTCCATCTTCTGGGCGTACATCGCGTGTAACGCGACGTTCATCACCGCGCCGCGCTTCTCGAGATACGCTCGAAGAAGAAGGGGTAGAGCGATAAAACGTACGATGCAAAATGTTGTTCGTGTCATCGTGCGCTAACGTTGTTCGTTAAATAACGCGTGCGCTATATTTTCATCGACCGAGCTTGTGTGGTTCGCATCAAGACAGATAAGATGAAGTTTTTGACAGGAGGTTAAAGTCGCTTTGCGCTTGTGATGTACCTTGCTGTATATTTTGCTTGTCGCACAGTCTGTACTCTTTATTCAGCCTTCCAACGCGCTTAATATACCGCGCGACAGAAAGACAAAGCCGCGATAATGGGGCGTAAAAAAGGGGGAGGGGAAAAAACACGACGCGACAACAACGCAATTTTACTTGCGGCGTTGAAACGCAAATGCCGCCGGGTCGCAGTTTCCTTCCCCTCCTCAAACAGCTGACAAGCCGCATTTAAATCATTTTCAGATAAAAACATCGAAAAGAAAACACACGAGGCGAGCAATCGATTTTCTCTCTTCGATAAATTCGCGGCTTAACGTCGCGTAAAAGCTCTTTCTTAACGCGGTCAAATTTTTTTGTTCCCCGCCATTTACTTTAATGTTTCCTGCTCGCTTCTCTTTTTTTCTTTTTTGCGCAAACAATCGTA